AGGAGATAGTGAAGGGTCAGCCACTGCCCATGAGAGCCGACAAGACATCCATAATGATGAATTAAACCTGCATTCATTATAAGTGGCAGTGAATACTGCCCCTCATCCAGCCACAGCGTTGCTTAATCATTGCAGGCAATCTGTGCAAGGGCCACTCAGCTGTTCATGGGTAGGTTGCCTATCTTCCCACACTGTTGGCCATAATCTGCAGCAAGGGCAGACAGCAGCACTTCATATTGCTTTAAATACCATGTCTAGGATGAACTGACCTCATGGACCTGCCTGGTAGGAGGCACACCAGTGGAACAGGGTATCAAAGGACTGGAAGCAATCCCTCAACATCCATATAGGTGTATGAAAATATATATATGCATCTGTCTATATATGTGTATGTATACAGGCACACACACGAGTGTGTGTGTCACCAAGTGAGAAGCCCTAATGTCCTACTAGCACAGCTGTCTCCCAGAGAGACCTGCATGCCTGTGACCCTGGAGAGATGCTTCTGCCTTGCTGGTGTTTGCTGAAGGTTATTTTCCTTCCTGCTGCCGAGGTGGAAACGTCAGAGCCCCAGAGCCAGGTCAGAGCTACCAAGGCTAGGAAACTTCCCCACCATCATCCTGTCCTGGGCTAAACCTGGGAATGGCCTCCTAGCAGAGCCTGTATCACCTTGTCCCACTTCAACGAGGGTCCAGGGAAGCTTTGAGAAGGGTTTTGTGGCAGCCTGTGAGGCTGGAAGGTGGGATGTGAGACAGGGATGCTGTAAGGCTGGCTGTGGGCTATGGCATCTCAAGTGGAGGTCCGGATTTCCTTCTCCATTCTCCCCGGGTCTCACAGATAACTCGCAGAACCTGGGAAGAGCAGGACGATGGTTCCTCAGCAGCGGGCATCTGCGAAACCAGGACCTTTCTGCTGCTTTCGGCTGCTCCCCAGTGGCGGCATGGAGAGGCTTCACAGGCAGATGCTGTTGGTGGAGCCCTAATGAGAGGTATTGAGGGGGGGGCTGTGTCACCTGTAAGTGGAGGTCCCAGTTGCCTTCTCCATCTTTCCCCAGGTCTCACAGATAACTGGGTTGGGGAAGAGCAGGATGACAAGGATGTGGGGGAGATACAATCACAAGACTAGAGTTTTCTGAAAATAAGCAAACCTTTTTAGAGCATTTTGGGCACCTTAAAGCAGAAGCTTTATTTTTCAGAATCAGTGAAAGAGGTGAAAACCAGCTCAATTTCCTTATCCTGATAGTTCACTCTCTTAAAAAGATCTTTGTCTCCTGTTCTGCTCTGAAACAAATCTAATGAGGGCAAATGCATCAGGTTTCCAACCCCTTCTAGGGTGATGAGAGTAGTGTAGCTCTTGTTGCTACTGCTTGACAGCAACAAATTGCTTCCTCAGTGCATTCATAAAATTAGTCCTCCAGATGGCCTTTTCTTTCAATTCCTTTCATTCCTTCCAAAATCAACCCTCTTAAATAGGGAAAAGAACACTCTGGTAAAGGATGCTGTTTGAGTTTCTTGCCAGGCTGCATCACAGCAGGTGCTAATATTTCCTAGTTCTCCCCAGTAGTGCCTTAGGTTTATAAACTTATTTTTCCAGAGCTGTTTGGCCTTCAGGAAATGGGAGGATTTGTCCCAAGCTCTCGGTATTTGTGCTCCTCCTGCCTGTGCTGAGCGTCTTGGAGGCTGAAGGTACGGCTTGTGGGACCATTTCGTTGCTTATTAAAACACTCACTGAGGCAGATGCTGCTGCCGCTGCTGCTGTGTGCTTTGGGGCTGGCTCTGGACATGTGTGCTGGACACAGGGGTATGGGTTTGAAGGATGTTTAAGCAAAAGAAAGACAGCGCTGCTAAGAGAAACAGGTAGAAACATGAGAGATGAAGGACAGTGTCTCCAGCCATTTCCTATCCTACTGGCAAAGCATCTGTCACCCACTTTGTAAGGCTGTCCCAGGCCAGAGATACTGGGATTACCTGGTGTGTCAGGGAGGCTTCCAGCACAGGGGCACCACTCTGCATGGCTGATGTTTTAGGTTGCTGTGGACCAGATCCTGAAGCAGGAATTGTTCTTGGGAACAAAGTATTCAGCTTGTGTGTTCAGGGCTGAAAAAGGGGGTTTGTTGTCTAGGAAAAGCTTCAGCTTTTGAAACCAAAATAGAAAATATCTTGATTAAAATAGTTTGGAATGCTCTGGAACTCTGGTTATAGGAACTTAAACATAAAATAAGATGTTTCCCTGGGAAGAAATGGGTGTTTCATGGAATCCAGTTTTTCTGCTGGAATAAATTTCAGAGAGCAGATTGCAGTTTAGTTCTGAGCACAGATCCACAGCACAAAGTCAAGTAGAACTGTACTTTCTTTATGGGAGCAAGGCTGCAGAGGTTTAATAACTGATGTGGGGGAGGGTGTCCCATTGAAATACTCTTTTTAGAAACATGACATCCCTCATCTTTGGGAAAAGAATGCTTAAAAGTCACTTAAAGGAACAGGAATAGTTTTTAAAACTTCTTACACCAGTAGCGAGAAAAGAATTGATTCATCATATAGCAGAAAGGATACATGTAATTTTATGTGAACAACATAAAATCAATCACACTATTTAATGTGAAACTGCCTTTGGATATTCACCGTACTAGGAATAGTTAAAGGTGAAAATGTTATTTTTCACTACTGGGACATGGCGTTCGACTTTTATATAGTATTTTGCATGCTGTTGCTCAAGCACAGATTTTCTCCCACTCATTGTTTCAGCAGGAGCCTTTTCCTATCTTCAAGCCCTCCTTAGCTTTTGGAGGCAGAGAAGAGAGAACTTAAATGTCACTGAGAAAAGGAAACTTCCTAACTGATGGAATTGTAATGAAAACTCCGAAAATATAAAGCAAATCTCTCCAGAATTTGGGGCAAAAATAAAAGCCCAGTACCTTATAGAGCAAAAGCCACTCTATGTCCATGTGAATGTAGTTATGTACAGTGGGCCACTGCCTGTGCATACATACACCTGTATGCTTTTCTATCTATACATGTTTATTTAAAATACTTCTATTTTAAAATCATGCTTTTAAAACAACCTCCTGCGTTTTAAGAGGCCGGCCACAGCAGATGTCCTCTTCATCTCTGCTGCCGCAGCTCACCAAGCTGATGCCCAGGTGCACCGGAGATTGCTGCTGCACCCGCTAACTTCTGGAGCCCTTTCCACAGTGCCTCTGCTGCCACCTGCCTTTCCCAGGCTGCTGCTGCGGGCTGTCACTGCTGTAGCTACACCGTCCAGGAGACTGATACCAAGGAAAGGCAAAGGCCGTGCTGAATTAAACTGAACGCAAGGACAGGTGGGCAAGGAGAGCCCACTAGTCCCCCAGAAGTGTGAGACTAGGATTTGGAAGTCAATAAACCCTGTGTTGGACACCCCAGGGGGGCAGGAAGGTCCCTGCTGGGTCCTGCCCAAAGTGCTGTCCTCCTCCTGCCCATCACAGAGGTATTGCTCCTGGGAGGAGTCTGTTTGTTCCTTTCCTTGGGTTTGCTCTCGCGGTGGTGCAGACTCAGTGCCCGGGTGGAGGCTGTGCTGGACAGAAGAGTACGCTGGGGGTGGCAGAACTGGGGTGGCCCCTGGAGGTGCTTGGATACTGCTCTGTTGTCTGTCCATCTGTCCTTTCTACTCCCTCTGCCAAACACTAGGGACCCCCTTACCTGGTGTCCATGCCCCAGAGATGCTCATCATCCATGGGACCTGCACACTCGAGTACCCTGCACACTCAGGTACCCTGCACATTGCCTGGGGAAACCAGTTGCCTGGGGCTGCTGGGAGGCTGCCCCAGAGAATGAGGACAGCCGGTGAATCTGCCCCCTGGGCTGCAGCACTGGTAGGGGCATGTATGAGGGCTGTGGTGCAATGCTGTTGGTGCGGGGGGACACCTAGCACTCATGGGGCACCACATCATGGGACAAATGGTCTCTGGAGCTTCTCCCTTGTGTCAGTGCTCTGGGCCACCTGACAGAGCTGTGCAATACCCTGGTCTTTCCATCTACCTGACAGTACCTCTGCCCTGAGCTCCCGACTGACTTGACTGTGCCACAGCTCTTCTGTGCCGGCCCTGAATGGCACGCAGGAGGTCATCCCAGAGCTTTCTCTTCCTGAGCAAACACCCCTTGTGTGCGCGCAAACATCTCACAGGCAGACAGTGTTGCTAATGAGTGTGTACCCACAGCAGCAACCACCCGGTTTCAGCTAACAAGCAGCAAGGTTTTGTGGGGAGATGAAAAAGGATTAATGCAGAGCATCCACGGCCAATGCATGTGCCTGAAGGACAGACTGGTCTTGGGGGTGCATAGAAACTTATACCACTATTTGCAGCTGGCAAGCAAGTCAAAAACTTGAGGGGCAACACACCGGCAGCTTCCCCAGGGTATGCAGCAAGGGGCCTGCTACCCCCAGTGCCCATTTCCTCGGCTTAGGTGATGCTCCTCAGCTTTCCCCGGTCAGAGGGGGCTCTTTCCCAGGAGCCAGCAGCAGGTGCCTTATCCTCTTGCAGGGCTGTTTTCTCCCCCAGCCACTGCCTTTGCTCTCCTTGTTGTGCTCCAACGGCTTCTCCGCAGCCCTCAAGGTCGAGGGCCACCCCGGCGCCTGTGTTTTCAGAGGGTGCCCCTCGTCCAAGGCTGCCGCTGCCTTCACACGCGGGCGCAGATGCTGCGGGGCCCGGTTCACACGGCCGGCTCTCACAACAACCCCTGGCGATAAGGCAGCCCCCGGGCCAGCGGCTGTGGGCCTGGGCACCCTTTGCAGTCCCTCCCTCCCACCTCTCCCGGGGGTTGCGGGCACAGAGCGCGCCCGGCCCTGGCACCGCAGGTGCCCAGCCGAGGTCGGCGGCCGCGGGTGGGGTCTCTGCCGGCGGGGCGGGCCAGGGTCTCCGCCGGCGGCAGGCGGTGCCCGCGGTGCCCAATGGCTGCCCGCGCGCAGGCATAAAAGCGGCGGCGGCGGCGGTAGCGGTGAGCTCCCCTCTGCTGGCCGGGCCCCCGGAGCCCCCCTTCACATCACCCCCTCCGCAGCAATGTGCCGCCCCCCGCCGCCGCTCCGCCTGCTCCTCGCCCTCCTCAGCATCCTCCTGCCGCCGTTGCTGCTGTTGCTGCTGGTGCCGCCGCCGCCGCGCCTGGCCGCGATCGCCGCCGGAGCCGGGACCCGCCGCGCCCGTGAGCCGGGACCGGGGAGGGCGGGCTGGGCTGGGCTGGGGAGGTCCCTGCCCCATCCCGAGGGGTTGCGGTGGGCGCCCGCTGCTTCCTGGCTGCTTGCTGGTCCCCGCGATGGTCTATGGGAGGTCCCTATGGGCCACCATGGGTGTCTCTGTTTTCCCCCCTTTACGGTGATGTAGCGGTCCCTGCCCCCAGTAGCATGCTTCCCACTATCAGGGTGGGAAGCAGCATGGTGGGGCCCTGCATCCTGTAGAGCCCTGTCCGGCTGCCTAGGGAGGCTGGGGGGTCCCTACTTTTTGCGGGGGGATGGGGGGGGGGGGGGAACGGGGGGACGGGGGACACGACGAGAGGCAGCAGTTCTTCCTCCAGCCCTAGAGGAGGTCCTGGAGTGCCCTTGGCTCGTGCCAGCCTCCCTCCCGTTGGGACTGTGCTAGGACTCTCTAGTGGGAATCTGCATGGGGTGGGTGCCGGTGGGTGAGTTGCATGGGGGGAGTGCCGATGGGTGAGCTGCACCGGGCGGGTGCTGGACGGTACGCTTCATGGGGTGGGTGCCGGCGAGTGCGTGTCCCGGCCGCCCAGGCTGACCACGGGCCGGGGTCCCTCTGTCCCACAGTGCCCGCCGGCCCCACATGTGCAGCCTCACGCCAGGCTGCCTGCGGTGCCATCTGCATCCCCGTACCCTGGCTCTGCGATGGCGAGCAGCAGTGTGCTGACGGGACGGACGAGCAGTGCGGTGAGCAGGGGCAAGCTGCCACCCCTCCCCTATAGTGGAGTGGCCTGGGGGATCTGCACTGCATGGACGTTGAGGGGCGCTGGTGCTCTGGGGATGGTGGGGTAGGGCAGGGCAGAGGCACCTCGCTGGTTCTGCAGGTGGCTCCTGTGTGGCACCCTGAAGGGACCCTAGACCTCCTGGGGGATATCTGGGGCATCGGGACATATTCTGGGTCCCGTGCTGCGGGAGGCAGCACTCCACCTGCCAGAGAATCCTGACTGGGGCTGCTGTGGTCCAGCTGCTTGGCAGAGCCCCTTGGGCATTGCCAGCGCCTGCCCCTGCCAGGATAGTGGGAACCCTTGTAGCTGTGCCCTGCAGCTGTGCCAGAGTGGGAGGTCCCAGTGACGGTGTGCTATCCCTGCAGACGTTGCCTGTGGTGGGGACCCCCATGTTTGGCAGTGTGACGATGGCCGGTGTGTTTCTAGCAGTTGGCGTTGTGATGGTGTTGCTGACTGCATGGATGGCTCTGATGAGCAGGACTGTGGTAGGTGGTCTCTGCCGGGGAGGGCTGAGTAGGGTGCCTGGGGCATAGGGCAGGGTGTGAGTGCTGCTCTGTTCCCCCAGTGTGCGGGGCAAAGAAGGTGCAATGTCCTGGCACCCACCACTGCATCCCACACTGGGAGTTATGCGATCGGCACCAGGACTGTGAGGACGGCTGGGATGAGGAAGGGTGTCCCCAGCAGCCATGTCTGCCTGGGCAGTGGCAGTGCAGGAACAGGGTGTGCATCATGGCTGAGTGGAAATGCAATGGGATTGATGATTGTGGCGATTCCTCAGATGAAGATGTCTGTGGTAAGTAACGTGTATGCTCCTCAGTGGGGTGAGACCCGTCTAGACCATACGTAACGTAGGGGGTATTTTGCCTTCCTGGGCCCCAGTTTCCCTTGGAATGGTGCTAAGCATTGCAGGAACCTGTTGATGCTTTGTGGGACTCTCCCCATGAATCTGGGACCCATGGCTTCCCCTGTGAGCTCCTGACACAAGCTGTGTGTGCCATAGCTCCCTGCCCACCTGGCATGGTGCGGTGCGACGAGGGAAAGTGTATCCTGGAGTCCCTGATGTGCAATGATGAGGATGACTGCCTGGACGGCACCGACGAACCCAGCACATGCGGTGAGTTGCATGTGGCTGTGGGCACTGCCTCTGTGGCTGGGGCCAGGGGGAGCTGCAGAGCTATTCTGTGCCATGTCACCCCTGGACTGTGTTCCCGCAGGTCGGAGCTGCTTTGTACGCAACGGGGGCTGCGCGGAGACGTGTACTGACACGCACTGGGGAGTGCAGTGCTCCTGTGGGGCTGGCTGGATGCTGCAGGCGGATGGACAGAGCTGTGCTGGTAAGGAGAGGTCAAGGTGTGCATGCTTCAGTCATGTGTGGCTTCAGCTGCCAAGAGTGGGGTCTCCCCAGAGCTAGTGCTGCTGTGGGAATACCTGCCTCCACCTTACTCCTGCCTGCCTGTCATGCCTGGCCCTGTAAAGCCTGTGTCCAGTCACATCCCAGCAGCAGCTAGTATATTTTGGGGTTGGGACCTTAGGTCCTGGTATCTAGGGAGCCTGCCTGTGGTCCCTGGGGAGAGGTAGTGATGCTGTGTGCTCCTGGCTGCACCTATCCCTGCAGATGTGGACGAGTGCTCCCTGGAGTACAGCCCCTGCAGCCAGCTGTGCAGCAACACCCCAGGTGCTTTCAGCTGCTCCTGCCTCCCAGGCTACACCCTGTGGCACAACACGGCCTGCGAAGTATCAGGTAGGGAGAGCCGAGGAGCCCGGCATGCCTGGGGGCTGTGCAGTGCCCCAGCTAGCCATGGCCCCACTCACCGGGTGACATCCCCCTTGCCCTGGCAGACAATGCAACGCAGATCCTGGTGGCTGTGGGGGAGGACCTGGCCCTTCTAGATGTGCGGACCCAAGTCTACCGGCCCCTGCTCTCCACTGAGACTGAACCCCGAGCCCTGGTGTATGACCTGCTCCGAGAAACTTACTACTGGCTCACAGAGGACGGCGAGCTTCGTGTTCACCACCCTGGGAAGGGCACGCAGTCCCTCTACCCAGGTGGGGGAGGAGTGAGGATGCTGGGTGCTTCAGTGGGGCTGAGAGGGGTGCTGAAAGCTGGGCTGCCACCCCAGCCCTGCCCCTCTCATAGAGGAAGGGGCATCTTGGGTTTTGCTTCTCAGCCTTGAGCAGGAGTGGCATGCCTTAAACTGCTCTGTCCCTGCAGATGCCGAGGAAGTGAACAGCATCTCCGTGGACTGGTTCACAGGGCAGCTGTACTGGGCCAGCAGCCACCCTCCAGCCATCTGTGCAGGGCTGGGTGATGGCCGGGGCTATGTGACGGTGCTGGGTAAGGATGTGGTACCAGAGCAGCTGACAGTGCATCCTGCTGCAAGGTGAGGAGCCAGTGAGCCAGGGGGTTGGCCTGGGCTCCTGGATGAGCAATGTTGGTGCTGACCACATCATGCCTGCTGTGGAGCTGTGGCAGCACGGGTTTTATGCCATGAAGTGGGTGCTTAGTGCTTTCCCCTAGGTCCCTGTACTGGGTTAACCGTGGGCAGAGGGGCCGAACAGTCATTGCTGCAGCTGGTATGGATGGCTCAAACCGGCGGGAGCTTACTGTGGTGTCCATGGAGGAGCCTGTGGGGCTGAGCCTGGACCATGTGGCCAGCAGGCTGTACTGGATCAGCGAGTACAAGGAGGTAGGGGTGTGATGCAGTTGCCGGGCAGTGATGAGGTGGGATTTGGGAGGGTGGCCCTGGTTAAACTGTGATTACGGCTAATGCACTGGGGTCAGGGAGCAGTGCCCAGGTCTGGCACACATCCCTGGGCTGGGAGGGGGAAGGCACCACTGTGACCGCTGTGCCTGTGGGACAGTGCCAGGTTGTGTGAGTGCCACACAGTCACTGTGCCTTGCCTTGTCCCCAGTCCATTGAGACGCTGCGAGTGGATGGCGGCGGGCGGCACTCCTTTCCTGCTGTCCTGCGGAGCCACACGGAGCCGCTGGGCCTGGCTGTGTTCGAGAGCCGGTTCTTCTGGACCGATGGCATGGAGCTGGTGTCGGCCACCCGGGCCTCTCCCCGGGAGCACGCGGTATTGCTCCGTGCTCCTGTTTCAGCTTTCACTGTCCTACACGTGCTGCAGCAGCCCCCCCGTGAGTACCCTGATGGTACTGTGATACTCTGATGCAACTCACCTGCACCAGTGCAGGGCTGGCGGCATCCCTACTGCTTCCTGGGGTGCTGTGGGGGACTATTGTGTGTCCTGGAGCTCACTGGCTCCTGCCTAATGGCTCTTCTGGTCCTGTGGTGAGGGGGTGTTGGGTTGTAACAGAAGGGATGCTGCTGAGTCCCATGGCTTTGGGTAGAGCTGAGCCCTCCTGCCTCATGTGATACTGCTACCCTGCGTGGGGTAGCCAGACATATCCAGCCCAGGACAGCCCGAGCTTTCAGGGGATCAGGAGAGGCACGAGGTGTCATGGCTAACTGAGATCTTAATGTTCCCTTGCTCCTAGGGGATACTGCTGCTTGTGCTCCTGGCCTGTGCAGTCACCTTTGCCTCCTGTCCCCTGTGCACCCTCGGGGCTACAAGTGTGCATGTCCAGAGGGTCTCTTCCTCCTGCCCTCTGGGAAGTGTGAAGGTGAGTGGGGTCTGTGAGGTGGGCTTGGCTGTCTGGGGTGGGATGCATCCCTGTGGGACTCAGAGTGGGGCCATACGGGGCTATGGCTTTGGTGGGATGAGGTTTGGTGGAAGTTAGAGGGGGGGCATAAGGGGCTGTGGCTTTAGTGGGGTGAGGTTCCTGGCACACACCAGTGCTGTTGCATTTATGCCTTTGTTTATGCTGGTGACCCTGTCTGGTGCCCCTGGGGCTGCACTCACACACTGCTCTCGTACCCTGCAGAGCTGTCCATCGTGTATGCATCAGGGAAGACCATCTCCCTGGTGCAGGTGGGTCCTGGAGCACACAGCAAACGGGTGCAGGAGTGGCAGGAGCCCCTCCATCTGCAGGATGTGGACTGGCAGAGGTCAGTGCTCTATGGGACAGATGATCGTGGGACACTGCTGCGTGTTGTGGGACACCCTGGCCAGAGAGAGGCCATTGCAACTGGGCTGCCAGGTAAGACCCTATGGGGTGATGGAGGGCATGATCCCTTTCCTGGTGCTCCATGAGGCCTGAGGATCTCCTGGGGGCAGAGCACAGCAGTCCTATGGTACCCATCCTGGAGCTGTGCTGAGGCACTGGATAGCTATGGCCTGGTTTTAGGGGCAAGGGGGACCCAGGCAGAGGAGCAGGGTCATGGGACAGTCCCATAACTGCTTGTCTGCCTACTCTTGCCAAGTGTGCTCTGTTCGTGTGGACATCCGCTCGGGGGACCTGTACTGGCTCGCATGTAACCGGAGGGACATCGGAGTGATCCGGGCGTCTGATATGTCCTCGCGCATCCTGCACCGTTCTTACAGCAGCATCCAGCACCTCTTCTTGGACTGGCAGCGGGGCACTCTGTACTGGCTAGCTGGTGGACAGCCCCTGCAGCAGCTCAGCCTGGCTGGGGGTGCTCCGTGGGATGCATGGAACGAGACATGGCCTGGAGACCTGCCTGCAGCCATGGATAGCAGAGCCTTCAGCTTGCTGTGGAGCTCATCCCTAGGTGAGCCGTGGTGGCCTGGAGCAGGGAGCAGAGGTGGTCACTATAGGCAGGAGTGACCTACATGCATCAGGTCCCTGCCCAGGCAATATGGTGCTCATGGTTGAGCCCCTGGCCTCAGCTCAAAGGTCCCTGCCATAGCTGTGGGACCACTAGCTGGTGCCTGCAGTCCTCATGGTCCTACTGTTCCTCTGCCTCACAGGCCTGCGGGCACTGAGTCTGACCAAGCAGCAAGCAGTCACCCTGGCACCCAGCTGGTCCCATGGCCTTGTGGCTGCCTTCGAGCCATACCTGGTGTCTGCAAATGGGACAGCTCTGCTGCTGTGGGACCGGAGGACGCTGTCCCTTGTGGTGTCCATACCAGCAGCAGGTGTGCAGGGAGTGGTGGCCTTCGTGGTCTCGGAGCCGCAGGCTGGTAAGAGTGGCTGTGGCTGTGTGCCTGGCACTGGTGCTGTACATGATGGGGTTGGGTGGCCTGTGCTGCTCAGAGCTGGGGCAGGGTGCCTGGCTGCTGACAGCCATGTGGGGTGCTCTCAGAAGGGTCAGGAGGGACACCTCCAAATCCAGGGTCATGTTCTCATCCCTTTACCAGTGCTACCAAGCAAGGGGTCTGCCCTGCCACTCCCTCCCCCTGTGACTACCACTACAAGAACAGCTACAAGTACCACTGCTGCTCAGCCCACCACCTCCACCACGAGACCTACGCCAAGCAGGACCACCACCACTGCCCTCACCACTACTGCACCCAACAGCAAGGCTACCACAACACCATCCACCACCAGCCAGTCCACATTGACCAAAACCACTCCTGCACCAACCACTGTACAGACCATACCAACCAAGACCACCACTGTGCGGCGAGCCACCACCAGCATCACCAGCACCACCAGCACCACTCAGTCCTTGCCAACCAGGACCAGCACCACACAGCCAGCTACTACCACTCGGCGCACAACCAGTCCTGCACAGGTAGTGCCACCTACTTCATCCCTCCCATCCAGCCCTGCATACCGCCTGACCCCAGTCCTCCGTCTGTCCTGTCCTCGCACGCATGTGCCCTGCCGTGATGGCACCGAGTGCGTGGCCCAGGAGTATATGTGTGATGGGGAGAAAGACTGTGCTGATGGCTCTGATGAGGATGGGTGTGCCCAGCTCTGTGACACCCCAGGTAGGAGGTGTTCTTCTGTCCTCTGTGCTGGGGCTTCTGGCTGCTTCCTGGTGGGTTTGGAGGGAGAGGGCACTGGGAAAGTCTGAGTGTGTACTGGGCTCTGATGCTTGTGTTGTGGCATGCTGATTTCTCCTGAGCTTGGGACTGGGCCAGAGGTGTTGTCAGAAAGGAACACTGCTGCTCACAGTGACCTTGATATGACTGAGCTGAGCCTGCCTCAGTTGCTTTGCTTGGGTCCTAGGCTGCTGGAGGTGCACTGACTAGCAGGGACCAAGTGCCCCTAGTTGCTGTTGTGTGGGGTCATTCTGCATCTTGGGGGGCTAGTAGAGGGGCTGGGCACCCTGGCTGCCTACTGCAGGCTTAGTAAGGTCCCTTGTGTCCCCAGGGGCCTTCCACTGTGCAAGCGGAGCTGTGTGCATTGGGGCTGGGGAGCGCTGTGATGGGGTGCCCCAATGCCCCGATGCCTCAGATGAGACAGGCTGCTGGAGCCCCACACAGGAGTGTGCCCTGCGCTGTGATGGTGCCACCCGCTGCATCCCAGAGAGCTGGCTGTGTGATGGCCATGCCGACTGCCTGGACCACACCGATGAGCAGGGCTGTGGTGAGACCTTGGGGTTGGATGGGACAGGGGCTCCTTGGGTGGTGCGTGCCCCAGAGGTGGGTGGACTGGGTTTCCTCTGGGTCCAGGAGCATGCACTGCCCTGGGCAACCTGCTGAGTGGCTGGAGGGGCTGTACCCTGAGCTGGTGGGATGGGGATGGGGACAGTGCCACCTTTCAGCCCTGTCCCTGCTTGCAGTGCCAAAAGAGTGTGGCCCTGCCGAGTTCCCCTGCCAGAATGGGCAGTGTGTGGCCTTGGCCCTGCGCTGTGATGGTGACCGTGACTGCCGGGACGGCTCGGATGAGGAGGGCTGTGCCATGCCCCGGCCACTGCTCTGTCGTACAGGCGAGGTGGCATGTCCCCACAGTGGGGAGTGTGTGCCAGAGGCCTGGCTCTGCGACGGTGCTGCTGACTGCACGGATGGCTCAGATGAGCAGGTTGGTGGGGTGGTGGGGACATTGCCTGTCCCCCACTCGGTCTTGGGAGGGCTGGTGGCCCTGTTCACCTTCTGCCTTTGCAGGGCTGTCGCTGGGAGGAAGGATTGTGCAGGGACCGGCAGTGGGGCTGCTCCCATGGCCATAAGTGCATCCCTGATGTCTGGCGCTGTGATGGAGAGAGTGACTGCACAGATGGCAGCGACGAGGCTGGCTGTGAGCAGCAACCTCCTTTATCCCCTCTGTGTCTTGTCCAGGGGAGTTGGTGGGTGCCCAGCACAGAGGGAAGTGGTGATGTGTCTGTGCTGAGGTAAAAGGCCCTGTGTGCTCTTCCCAGCATCTGTGGTGGCTCCAGGTCCTGGGTAGCTGTTGTTCCTCTAAGGCTGGTGGCCCTGGGATCAGGATAGCCTGAAGCCAGGCTACAGGCACAGCTTTGGATATAGCTGCAGTGATCCCATGGTATCTTGTGGGAGCAGCTAAGTCTGCCAAAGCTGAGAAAAGCATCTGGTGGATGAGGCTCAGGGCAGCATTTCCTGTGTGTCCCTGCAGGCCAACCTGCTCCCTGCCAGAGTGATGAGTACCCATGTGGGCGGGAGGCCTGCCTGAATGCATCCTTGGTGTGTGATGGCCAGCAGGACTGCGCGGATGGCTCAGATGAGGGGAGGAACTGCTCAGTGCCCTGCCAGCGGTCCTGCGCTCATCTCTGCTACCCATCACCCCGGGGCCCTGTGAGTGCCAGCAGCCCTGGTCTAGGGGCTTACCCCTGGTCTAGCTGTAGAAGAGAGCCCCATGTGTCTCCCGATGGGGGGACCCTGACAGCCTCTTTCCCCACAGCGGTGTTGGTGTGGCTCGGGCTATCGTCTGGCTGATGACGGTCTGTCCTGTATGGACATAGACGAGTGCACAGAGCAGGGTGAGGAAGCCTGCAGCCAGACATGCCTCAATACTCCAGGGTCTTACAACTGTAGCTGTCTCCCTGGCTACCTGCTGGAGCCTGATGGCCGCATCTGCAAACTCACTGGTAAGACATGGGATGGTCAAGCAGTGCTGAGGGTCCCTGCCACTCTGGGGTATACCAGCAGCTGGTGGGTACCTTTGCCCCCATGCCTGCTGCCAATGGGAGAAGCCTTGTAGCCTTCCCATGGATGGCCCTGTCCCCTCTGCCTCTGAAGTTCCACTCAGCTTTGAGCTGATTGGAAGATCCATCTATACTAGCTGGAGAACATGCTGTGTGGTAGGGCCAAGCCCCAGCAAGCTCCAGTGTCTGAGAGTGCTACATTCCCTGCCTGCATGTGCTGAGGCCGTGGGGCCATCAGTGCTGAGCAATGTCTGGGTGGCTCTGTGTTGCCCCAGGACCAGAGCCCCTGTTGCTGGTGGCTGTGCAGTCGGAAGTGCTGTCCTATGGCCTGCGGAGCGGACGTGAGGAGGTGCTGCTGGCTGCTGACAAGGATCGCGTTGTCTTCTCGCTTGACTATGACCTGGTGGAGAGGAAGATCTTCTGGATGGACCTGGCCACAGAAAGCATCCGCTGGCAGGGCCTTGACTCGGGGAAGAAAGGCACACTGGTGAAAGGTATGCTGTGACAGTTAGCAGGCTTGGCTGCTCTGTGACTCTGTAATCTCCAGGTTGCAGTGGGGTGCCAGACTGTGTGGTGCTGGTGGGAACACGAATGGGAGGAGCTGGAGCTCCTGGCGTGGAGGAGATCTGGGCTGGGAGTGCTGTGTCAGAGGGCCACGCAGCTATCAGCACTCACCTCATGGGTGCATTGCAGGTGTAAAATCAGACTGTATAGCAGTGGACTGGCTTGGGAGGAACCTGTACTGGACAGATGGGGCAGCAGGGCAAGTGCTGGCCACTCGTCTGGGAGCTACCTGGAGAGGGACACCAGAATACACTGTGGTGATGGATGGAGACCTGGACCAGCCCCACTCCCTGGTGCTCCAGCCTCTGGCAGGGTAAGGCTGGGACAAGAGGACATTGGGACCTCCTTGCCATCCCTGCCCCACTTTCCTCCATGGAGTCAGGCAAGAAGCTGGGAAAGAGTTGGGATCACCCCACCTGGGTGCTGTTACGGCTATGTAACTAGGGCAGGAGACCAGGCAACTTCTGTCCTGGGTGGAGATCTCAGTGGGATGGAAAGCCCCTCGCTGTTCTTCTGGGCTGCCCATGATGCTGTGGCAAGTCCACGTGCTAGCACCTCTCTTCCCACAAGGCTGCTGTACTGGTCAGAGGTGGGGAGCCATCCACGGCTGATGGAGGCCACTATGGACGGGAGCAGGCGGCACATGCTGCTGGCCCGGGGGCTGGGCTGGCCCACTGCACTGGCCCTCGACCTCCCCACCTGGAGGATCTTCTGGCTGGATGAGAAGCTGGGCAGCATCGGTTCTGCCCATCTGGATGGCACTGGTGTAAAGGTGTGTGGTGGGGCACTAGTGATGGGGCCCTGATGGGGACCAGGGTGGGCACTCATGGCCTCTCTTCCAGGTCCTGCAGCTGAGCTGGGTCCGGAGCCCCTTTGCAGCAGCTGTGTGCGAGGGGCAGCTCTACTGGTCAGAGAGGAAGGCATGGTCCGTGCAGCAGGTGGACAAGGCCAGCGGCAAGAACAGGACCGTGCTGCTCAAGAGACACGGGCAGCCCCATGGCCTCCAGGTACCTACCTGAGGGACCCCCAAACCCTGCTGCACCAGCCCTGCTGGGGCTCCCACCGTGCATGGCCCTGCTGTCTGAGTGTGGAGCTCCTTGGGCAGCAGTCCCTGTGGTCAAGGGTCTCTCTTGGAGCATCCCTGTCTTACCATCCTGCCCCCAGCCAGGCTGTGTCTGGGCCTTGGGAGCATGGCATGGTATGGGTCATGCTCAGCTCCACTGCTGCATGCTGGTGGTCTAGTAGGGCTGAGAGGCTGAGCCTGCTTTTCTACAGGTGATGCACCCAGAGCTGCGCCCTGTGGCCTCTAACCCATGTGTGGCACGTGGCTGCTCCCACCTTTGCCTGCTGAGCGCCAGACACGTTGGGCAGTGCCGGTGCCCTGCCGGGCTGACTCTGGCCGCCGATGAGACCACTTGCCTGCCCCTCCGCGACTCAGCCTTTGCCCTCCTGGTGTCCCAGGCAGCTGTGGTGCAGGTACCATCCTCTGGAGCCTGCCCTGGGGGCTGCTGTCCTCATCACTGTCAGGGGAGCAGGGTCCACATCCTACTGCTGCCTTCTTCACCTAGGTCTACCTGAAGGACCTGCCCACGATGGCTGGATCCCAAGGTTTCCCTCCACACCGGGCCCTGCCCTTGGCCAAAGTGGTCCACCTGACAGCCATCGACTATGCAGTGAAAGACAAGAGCCTGTACTTTGCAGAGGTGGAGGGTGACTCCATCGGGCTGCTGCGCCTGAAGGACTCAGGCCGGCTGTCCTGGAAGCAAGTGGTGGCTGTGGAGGGCATGGTGACATCCCTGGCCCTGGACTGGCTGAGTGGGAACCTGTACTGGATGGGGGGGCAGCCGCCCAGCATCCACGTGGCAGCTTCTGGGGGGCGGTGGGCCCTGGCACTGCTCAGCAAGGGGCTGCAGGGCGCTGCCTGGCTGGCACTGTGCCCTCGCGCCTCCACCATGTGCTTTGTCACAGCGGCTGGCAACCGCGGGCCCGGTGCTGTCGTGGAGTGCGCAGCCATGGACGGCACCGGCCGCAGGGTGCTCTGGAGGAGAGCCCGGGCTCCCACTGGCCTTGCCTTTGGGGGTGTTGGCACCCGGCTGTACTGGGCAGACCGTGGTGAGTGTGGGCTGAGCAGGGACACTGCTGGGGGTAGCGGTGGTGCAGGCGCTCGGTCTGCAGGGCACAGCCCCAAGGGGCAGCCTTGGAGACCCCTGTGTCCCCACGTCTGATGTCCCTGCATCTGCCCTGCAGAGAGAGGCACCATCAACAGCATCGAGCTGGACGGGTCCCGTCCCCGGGTGGTGCGGGAGGGACTGCATGGCCTCTCCCTCTTTGCCATTGGAGAAGGCTTTCTGCTCTGGAGTACGACCTCAGCCAACGGTGAGTCCATCTGCTGTGCTCTGCCCAGCTTCTCCTGCTGCACCAGAGCACGGGGTCTTTGCGAGCCCCTGAGGGCTGCAGGCAGCCCCTCCTGGGGTGAAGGGTAGGCTGGGGGTCCCCACCTCCTATCCTGAGCACCCTTGTGGAAGAAGATGAAGCAATGCCAACCCCGTGTATCTTCAGGGTCTAGCAGGATCTGGCACAGCCGTCTGGAGCGGGTTGAGAGCTGGTGGTTCCCAATGGAGCAAGAGTTGGTAGCCATGAAGATTTACAGCCAGTTCTCTCAGGAAGGTGGGTCTGGGGTATCTGGGCAGTTGAGCCATTCCCTGTGGTGGCCATGCTAATCCATGCTATTTTGGCAGGCACCAACGGCTGTGCGAAGAACAATGGCGGCTGTGCCCAGCTCTGCCTGCCCAACCCTGCAGGGCGGCTGTGCCGCTGCTCCCCTGGCTACCGCCTGGTGCGAGGGGTGGAATGCACCAAGGCACTGCCCTGCCCGGCCCCGCTCCAGGCCTGTCCTGACCTCCAGACCTGCATCTCCAGAGAGCAGGTCTGCGATGGGCACCCCAACTGTGCTGATGGCTCTGATGAGTCTGACTGTGAGTGTCTGCCCGCAGCCGGTGTGTGCAGGGGTGCTGCCTGCCCAGTTTCCCCCAGTTCGGGAAGGGGGGTCTCACCTGTGACTGATCTATGTCCACCCCGCTAGGCCCTTCTCTGGAGGTGGGGACCCAATTCCCCGTGATGGCAACATCTGGAATGTCTCATGTGGAAGAACAGAAACCAACCTTAGCCAGAGCTGCACACAAGTCTCGGCAGCCCGGCCCCAGTGTGCCTGCAGTCCCTGGTCCCAGGGAGCGTGGACAGCCCTTCCTCGTACCCCCCAGCACTGAGGAGGTGTTGGGGGCTGTGCCGTGCAGCAGTGAGATGTGTAACCTGCATGGGGACTGTGCCATCGAGGCTGGGAGAGTGACCTGCCACTGTGCCCTGGGCTACCGTGGTGACTACTGCGAGGAGGCAGAGGTGCAGCCTGTTGCAGGACCTATTGCCCTGGGGGTGGCCGTGCTCCTGGTGCTTGCTGCTGCTGGTGTGGGGGCCCTGGCCTACATGCGGAGGAGGGACAGTCGGAGGAGGTGAGCTCTGGGGCTCTGCTGGGACAGGTACAACTGGGGATGGAGAGGGACAGGGTCTGCCTTTCCTACCCAGGGGCAGCATGGTGTCCTAAGGCATTCCTGGGCTATTTGGAAAACTCCCATCACCCTTGCAGGCTACTACGGGGGATTGTGGCAGGACCTTGGGATCTGCCCCATCTCAAGGAGGTGGCCATGCCATTCTCAGTTGTATTCTTGTTTTCCTAGCAGGACCTCAAGCACTGCCTCTACCCGGGTGCTGACCTTGTACCACCGTGAAAGCGATCCCGAGGAAGAGGATGAAGAGGAAGAAGAGCTTCCCCCGAAGAGTGACACCTTTGTAAATGAAGCTTATGATGGGAAAGAGGTGAGCAGCATCTGGAGCAGGCTCTGATAAGGACCTCCCTGCCACCTGAGGGTGCCCCAAGGCTCCCCTAATAGGCAGATCCCTCCCCAGGTCATTGGTGCCCAGTCCTGAAATAGTATCTGCTCTCCTGCTGGGAGAGAGGGGGGGGTGCCTGAAGTCTGGCTGGTACAGGGACTGTCCCATTCCAGCTGTGGCTGCAGCCCCTGTACCAAGGTGTAGGGTGGGCTCAGGAAGGCTAGCTCAGACTCAACCCTGATGCAGCCATCTCTGATCTCTGCAGGAGCTGCCGGCCCCGCTAAGGAAAGGAACATCTCGCTCCGATACTTTATGTTCATAAAGGAACATTGTGCAGCATCTCTGGTGCCATTGTGGTTTGTGTGGGGGCTGGGGAGGGGAGGACAGTTTGTTCTTCCCAGCTCTCTTAAGCTCTAGGAAACTTAGAGTCCAGAGCAAAAACCTTTGGGAAGTGTTTCAGGAAGTTTCCAGCTCCAATGCAGCCTGTGAACCACTTGAATTTGATCCTCTACTGCAAGGGTATACACCTTGTGCCATCCCTTAACCACACTTGGAGCCCCTTCATAGAATCATGGAATGGTTTGGGTTGGAAGGGACTTCAGAGCTCATCAACTTCTAACTCTCCTGCCATGGGTAAGGACACCTTCCACTAGACCAGGTTGCTCAAAGCCCCATCCAGCCTGGCCTTGAACACTGCCAGGGATGGGGCAGCCACAGCTTCTCTGGACAACCTGTGCCAGTGCCTCATCACCCTCACAGGGAAAGTTTTCTTCATTCTGTGTAATCTAAATCTCCCTTCTATCAGTTTAAAGCCACCCCCATTGTTCTGCCACTATATTCCTTGTAAAAAATCCTTCTTCAACATTTCTGTAGGCCCCATGTAGGTATTGGAAGACTGTTGAAAGGTCTCCCAAAAGCCTTCTCTGCTCCAGGGTGTACAACCCCAACTCTCTCAGCCTGTTCTCATGGGAGAGGTGTTCTAGCCCCCTGATCATCTTTGTATCCCTCCTCTGGACTCGCTTGAGCAGGTCCACATCCCTCTTGTGTTGGTGCCCCTAGAGCTGGATGCGATACTCCAAGTGAGGTCTCATGAGAGCAGAGCAGAGGGGCAGGATCATCTCCTTCAACCTGCTGGTCACGCTCCTTTGGATGCAGCCCAGGATATGGTTGGCTTTCTGGGCATCAAGCACACACTGATGGCTCATGTTGAGCTTCTTCTCACACAACACCCTCAAGTCCTTCTCCTCAGGGCTACTCTTGGTCCGTTCTCTATCCAGCCTGTATTTGTGCTTGGGATTGCCCCAACCCATCTGCAGGACCTTGTACTTTACCTTGTTGAACTTCATGAGCTACATGTGGGCACACCTCTCTAGCCTATCAAGGTCCTCTGTATGGCACCCCTTCCTGCTTCCTTCCATCTTAATCCACTGTCCCTCTGCAGCAAGGCTTAGCTAGTTGACCAGGGTGTTTTGGGTTTGTCTGGAGTAGAAATCTGTCTGAATAGCTCTGCAAAGAAGCTGGATTAGCTCTTGCCCTGTTATTCTGGGTGCTGAGCAGGATTTTATAGTGCATTTCTGACCTCCTGAGTGTCCCTCACAAACCAGTGAGACCAGTTTTACTGCCTCACACCAAGCTAATGATGAAAGGGGAAATATACACTAGTTTCTTACCCTGTGATCTCTTCTCCCCTCCTCTGAAGTGGCTGTGCTCAAGGAAGGAGAAACCTCTTTCAGAGCTGATTTTTGACCGTGGGGGAAAAGTCCCTGAGAAAGGTGCTATAAAAGCAACCTGTTCTCTTTTACAAACCTTTTCTCCCTGCTTCAGGCAAAGCACAGGGGAGCTGGGTTAGCTGTACCCCCTGGCTCCCGGCCTAGCCTGCCTGGCAGAAAGCCCATAACCATACCACAGCACAGATCCGTTCCTCTTCATTTATTCTGCTGTTTGCACAGCCCTGAGTTGAACAGAGACATGTGGGAGGTGCTCCCCATCCCTATTGCCAGCCTAGAAGGCTGCACATTGCTAACCTGTACCTTGTTCACGTTAAAGAGAAAGGTCTTTGCCTGAGGTTTCCTGCAGCAGTGTCAGACATTCAATTCCAGGGAAAACAGTAATGCAATAATTGAGTGGTAGAGCAATAGGGATAACTTGAGCTGGATGCCTCTGGAGAGGGACCCAGAACAAAGAAATCCCTGGGGTTTTATACCCTTACAATCTATGTACCTGTGCTTTGTAAGTTCTTTGCATGCCTTGCACATGCCTCTTTGGTCCAGTGGTGATTTTTGGTCTGGGGTCGTCTTGTTTCTGACTGGATTCTTGCTCTGTCTCCAGACATGCCCTTAGCTGCTCTATCTGGACAGGTTGCAGCTTTGGAAGTACAGGTTTTCCTCCAATTGTCCCTATTCCTTTGTCATCTTGGTTTGTTTCCCATTGTCCCAATTGTTTCTTTTCTTCTGCTGAGCAACCCTTCTCATACACAGTTTTTGGGTCTGACAAACCTGGCCTTTTGTTCTGGTTCCCAGATTCCCACAAAAATAACATTTCCTTCTGACATTTTCTGTTCTCTTCTATCTCCTGGCCTTGGTCTAAAACCTCTGCTTGATCTTTCTCTTCCTTCACTTGTACCACCTCTCACTTGCAAATTCTTGGCTAATGCTGCTGCCAACAAATGAATCTCCTGCTATTTTGTGTTCCTTTCTTTCATTAGTTCAACTTTCTGCTCCTCTTCAAGACCATCGTACATGAATACAGACACACACAAAATCTCTTGCAAACTTTCTCTTTGCCATGCTGGCAATCTTGAGTGTGTCATTAAAGTTCTGTGGTGTCATTCCTCTGTATTTGAACAGAGCTTGTTGGAGCCATCCCCAGGAGTCACAAGGATGCTCATCAGGTCTCTGCCTGTATTCTTGTACTGAGCTGATGGTCCAGTTCACTCCTAGCTCCCCACATGCTTTAATGACTTCTACTAAATTTCCCCAATTTTGCAGTACATTGGCCAAGGGTGTCCCCTTTTCTATACCAAATTTATTCACCATTACCAGAAAAAAAACCCTGTCAAGGAGACACAAGATTTAGAAAGGACCATCTTGCTTTCTAAACTCCTTCTCAGAGAGAAGTCTATGTGTGGATAGATTCAATCTTCATCACAGACTTGGTCAATAGTCTGTATCTAAAAGATTGTATTTCTTATTGCTAAGAGGAACTCAGACCCCTTGTATGTGCAGCTAATGCTGATCAGGCTGCGCACCCATAAGCAAGTTGCAGCGAGGGAGGGACTCAAACTCACTACAGCATTGTTTCTGAATCTGCTTAGAGAATTTTTAATACTCACCCTTTCATGCCTCCTGCTCCAAAGGTCCCAGGAGCAGAATTCACCCAATGCCAACAGTTGGATGGAGACCAGAGGGTGTGGAGGTGGTGGCCTAGGATCCCATCTGGGTCACCAACCTGTTAAAGAAAGGTCTTTGCCCTAAGTTTCCTGCAGCAGAGTGTCAGACATCCAATGCCAGGGGAAAAATAATTTAATAATTGAGTGGTAGATCCATAGGGACAGCTTGAGCTGGGTGCCTCTGGAGAGGGACCCGGAACAATGAAATCCCTGGGCTTTCATACCCTTACAGTCTATGTACCTGTTCTTCATGTGCCTTGCACATGCCTCTTGGTCAAACTGTGATTTTTGTTCTGGAGGCTTCTTGTTCCTTATTGGATTCTTCTTCTGTCTCCAGGCAGGTTGTTAGCAGCTTTTATCTGGATAGGTTACAGCTCCTGCTGATAGTCATGGCTTCCTTATCTTCCAGTTTGCACTGGTCTCAGGGACTCCTTTCACTTAACTAAGCAACAGTTCAAGGCAAGTTCAACTTTTCTAGGTTGCAGCTTGCAGCTTAAGGCTTCAGCAATGTTAGCTACTCATGCTAAGCAAAACTACTCATACAAAAGAATATAGTTAAAAGAATTCAGCTAACTGAACTTTATTTACAACAGTCACGTGGGAACACTGGAGCTACCTTTGCCCAAGCTGCTGCACAGTGGAAGAGGATGAGCTAAAAGCTTCATGGAGAGACTGCAGCCAGGGCTGATCCTCAACCCAGCACAGCTCTGGCACAGTTGAGGGACCTGGAGCACAGCAGGCTTTTGAGAAAGTTGCAGAGACTCAAGCCAAGTCCTTGGTTTTGTTTCCAGCCTGCTCTGAGCTACCCCAAGAGAAGGGCATGGCTTGGAGGGGCAGGAGCCAGTGCTCCTCTCAGTGCCAGGCAGGCACGGTGCCCACTGCTGTCCCTGTGCTGGGGCTACAAGTCAGAGTCACAAGGCAGGGTGCTCCTCCACTGCTGTCCATGTCGCTCGTCCTCCAACACATCCCAGGGATTGCGGTAAGCCCCAGTGGTGGGGCATGGCTCAGCCTCCAGCACAGGGCTGGAAGGCAGTTTGGGGGCCCTGAGCTTCTTGCAGCAGTGGTGGAAGCTGAGGGCGAGGGCCAGCCCCCCCAAGATCTCAAAGCAGCTTCCCAAGTAGCTCAGCACCAAGCTGTAGCCTACAACCAGTGTGCTGCCCTCCGGTGCGGGCAGTACCCACAGCTCATGGGTGTACCAGGAGGCAGGCACAAGGCTCAGCAGCCCTGAAAGGAGCAACACAATCCCTGCCACGCCAGCCAGCGTGTGCCGTGGCTCCTCCTGCCAGCAGCGAACCCCCAGGGCAGCCACCAGCAAGCCCACCAGAGTGAGCACCATCGAGGAGGGCATCATCCCTTGGGCCACCTGCACAGGGACCTCCTTGAAGTAGCCCAGCTCATCAGCTTGCCCGCAGAGGCGGTTGTGACTGCTCTGCCGCTCCGTGCAGATGTCCCAGATGCCCTGCTCCGTGACGAGGTCAATGGGCTGGTCGGGTATAAGGCTCACCTGCCGCCAGTTGGGTGCCAGTGTGCCCGTGAGCGTCAGCAGGAGCCCGCAGGGGCACAGGACCAGCCCCACGATCATCGCTGTCGGTGTCCGCATGCTGGGGAGGTGGTGAAGAGGCACAGAGGTCCGCGGGGAGGTCCGGGGGAGCCGGGGCTCGCTGCTCGTCACCCGGTCAGAGGAGGTGTCCCTGGTGCCCCAGCGCTGCTCGGCGCAGGCAGTGGTGCCCCAAGGAGAGGCAGCAGCCCCGGAGCCCCGCAGGGTGGTCGGTCAGCCCGGCTGTGCCCGGGGCATGGGGAGGTGCCAGCGGCAGGAGGAAGTGCGGGCAGGGAGGAGCCCGGCACAGGCAGGGCTGGCCGGCACCCAGCCCCGAGCGCCTGCACGGAGCCCGGGGGCAGGCAGCCGTCACGGGATAGAGGTGGCACTGGGACATCTCGGTGTCACACCAGGGCTGGGCAGCGCTCCGTCCCCACGTTTTCCTGCTGGGGAAGAGCGGGACCCCGCTGTAGCTCCATCAATTAAACTATCTACTGGATTAATGTGTGAAAGTCATTGATTAAGATGAAATGCTAGCGGGTCTCACAGTTCGTAAGGACTGCGTGGTATCCCAAAAGCCCAGGAGACCTGCCCAGACCCTGGTCTGCATTTTCATAGAATCACAGAATCATTTATCTTCTTGCTCTTCATCCCAGCAAGCATCTCCTTCGTCCCTCGAAGAGCACTCCTGAGGTCGGCCCTGCTCTTCCTTTCCCAGGCTGCGCTCAGAGGCCACCCGCAGGGACAGCAGCCTGGCTCACAGTGGGAAAAGTGCCTGGGATGTCCATTGAGAGAGGTACAGGAAGTCACCGCATTTGAGAACCCCTATGTGGGATTCTGAGCCACGAAAGGCATTGGTCTTGGGCCTCTCTGAATGTCATACTGCCAGTCACGCTGGGCCCAAAAGAGGGCAGCATCCTCTGCGTATTACTCTGGGATGATGTACCCCAGCTGATCTGGAGGGCTGGCTGCATGTGTGCTCTGCTGCACCGCTGCGCTGCCACGGGGTCTGCGTGGGTCTGTGCTACAGAAGCTGTGCCTCAGCAACCTTTCCTATGCCTGTGTCCTACAGCTATTCCTGAGTGTCCCCAAAGCCGTGCTGCTCTGTGGGTGCCACATCATTTCAAGGGTAGATAGCAGAGCTGTTAAACACCGGATCTCAGCCCAGCTGGAAGGCAGGGGGGATTGGGCTCAGTCAGAGGCTCATGCCCCCAGCTGTGCCTGCAGGGCAGCAATGCTGACAGCCAGCTGTGCCTAGCTTCAGACCGGGGACATCCAGCTTTGTTGTAAGCAGATAGTAGTTTGCTAAAAATTGGCACTCCTCAGCTAAGAACCTAAGCTAACTGGTTAGTCTCATTAACTTTCACCCTACTCCAGACATGCTAAGCTGCCCATTTCTGCCCATGGAGCTGTGGGTCCAACCAACACACCAGCTGCTGCCTGCCTCTTGTGTTGCCCAAGGCTGCCTTCTGCCATAGGACCCCAGCCCTGACCAGAGCTGAAAGAGCCTGAAATCTTCTAGTCCTGACCTGACTGTTTTTCTTTCCATTTGGATACGAGGTGCAGGTTAGGTGTGAGAAGACATAGTTCCCCTTGCTCCAGAAAGAATGGGCTGGAGGTGAGCTGGTGGCACGGTGATCCTGGGTGCCATGGATGAGTACTTGTCAGTGCCATTTGGTTCCTCCCAAGCTCAGGAAGCTTTTACTGAGGTGACAAGGTGCAGCTTGGTGGCAGTGCTGGCAGGTAAAGCAGTGGTCACCTGTGGACCAGACAGGCTGAGCTGTAGCTGTGAGCACATGGGAGCAAGCCCTGAGCCCCGTGTGGCTGACAAGGGCTTTGCTCCCCATCCCAGATGTTTGTGTGTGGGCCATGCTCCAGCACTGCTGGAAAGGGAGGAATTCTGCTTGTTGTCAGATTTGCCCTCATTTTGTCCAGACAGGCCAAGAAACCTAGAGGCCTGCAGCTCAGGATGCAGGGGTCCCACAGGTAACCCAACCCTGTGCTTTGCAGTGCCTGCCCTAGGATGCCTCTCCATATAGCACCTTCCTTCTCCCCTTGTCTGCTCCCCCAGCAATGCTTGGCACCTCCTGCCCTCACTCCCACAGGGCTGGGTATGGGAGGTGGCCACTGCTTGGATCTGCATCAGCAAGTGGAAGCCGGGTGCTGGGAGCATTGCAATTAAGCACCAGGGTCAGGTTTAAAAACCTGGGCTTTTGCAATTTATTAACTATGCCCGGGAGGATGCATCTGCCCTTTGGGCTGGTGCCCAGGCTCCTGACTGTGGGGCAATGGTAAGCAGATTAGGTGATGTGGCCCTGATGCTGAATGACCTGCCCTGAGTAAGCTTGAAAAGGAAATGGGATTAACAGAGCTGTTTCCTGATGCCACGAAGTTATAGATTGTTCATTTCTTCCCTTTTACTTTCTAATGAGGCAGTATGAAAAGCAATTCAAATCAGAGCCTGGGCCTCTCCAAGCTCTGGGGAAGCATTTAGAGCCATCTGGTCTCAGAGATAAAATGGCCTGGCTAAAACTGCCTTCCTTCCCACAATTCCCCTAAGCTGCTGGGTGGGAAGAGCCACCTTTCTTGGTGTTTCCTACTTCTCCAAGGCTGTGACTTACTTTTTCCTACCTTGGCAGAGTCACCTCTTTAAGAATGCGATAGAAACTTTATCCAGACCTGGCTGAGTTAGCTTGTGTTCTATTATTATCTTTTAACCCTCTTTGTAAATTGGAGGAGCAGCAGAAGGCCTTGAACTAACTGGAACTGGAAAAGATCCAGGGCAGGGTGGTCAGAGCTTGAGACTGACTACAAAGGAAAAAAAAAAGACTAAAAAAGAAATCCATGGTGGGCTATTTGGTGTTGAGTGGCTGCTTCCAGCCTCAGATACCCTGTGTTGTTGAAGGCTGGGAATGCATCCAGGGCAGTATTGCTGTGTTCAGCCTGTTCCCTTCCTCCCTAGGTGACTGCTGGAAGCCACTGGTGGTGATGGGACCCCAGACTGGACAAGTACTGGTGTCTCTTATGTGACAGTGGCTCAGTGTAGGATCAGCAAAGATAGGACTAGTGGCTTTTGGGTTACAGCGCTATCATAGAACTGAGCAGAGCTTGGTGTAACAGCTGGGCCTTTCCTAACGCCAGAAATGGCCTCAGCTGGGGAGCACATGCACACAGCAGTCTCCATAGCTTCCTCTGTAACCCTTAGTGCTTTCAAAAAGTGGCTCCCTGCATGAAGGCAGCTCTGTGTCTTCCCTGTCTGCTGTGCTCATGACACTGAGACCAGGATGGGACAGGCTGTGTATTTGTGAAGGGGTTACTCTGACTCCTTCCACTCACTGCTGCGGAGCTTGTCCTCAGCAGCAGCAGGATCTCTCAGCATCCTGTTTGCTGTGTGGGGAAGAGCAGGGGCCAGGGCCGTTAGGCAGAAGTCTGCAGCTGGCAATTCCTGTTTACATCGCACTGACCCTGGGGCTTTGCCTGCATTGTATACAGTAAGGTCCCCCCATTCCACCATACTGCCGGCATGTCATGCAAGTTATATTGTACCTGACCAGTTCTTGGGTTCAAAGGGGCCATGTTGGACTCTTAGCCATGTGGCATTCAGGACTGCAGACATGACAAACAGAGTGTGTGCGCTGTGCCCTGCTGGGCTCCCCTATGCCTGGCAGGTGCCCAGCAGGCACAGTGCTTGATCCGGGCTGTATCTTTCAGCCTCTCTCACCTTAGGAGAATTCACTTGGCAGAGCACCACGTCTTGCCCGCTGTATGAGATCAGGACTGACTGGGAATGGCACTTTGGGGGGGCTGCAGTTTCCCCTGGTCTAGCCCCTTGGACAGTTCTACCAGCCACCTGTGTTTGCCTCTCTTTTGCGGTTGAAACCCTGCAGGCTGGAAGCAAAGCAGGATGGCTCCAACAGCCCATGCTGGATTTGTTTAGCATAAGACCTGGTTGTCTGAGCCTCTCCTCAGACTACATCCTGCAGGGAAGTCTCATTAAACAGGTGTCTGAACTGAAGGAATTGGTTCTGACCATTCCATTTTGCTGCTTTTTGTTCTAGAATTTTGAGTGGGGGACTTTGTAACTGCAAAAGAAGGGTGTCCCATTGGCAACTCATTGCTTTCAAGCCATGGCCCAAGCACTGTGTGAGTGCAGCCAGGACACGCTCTGCATTGTGCAAACAGCTGCAGTTGCAATGGGCTTCTCCCAGACTGGCTCCCAGCTTCTTCCCTGGACACACACACTACTGCCTTTGTGCCCGCTGGGAGGCCAAGGACAAGCCCCCAGGAAAGACAGGGTCCTCCTTGCTATCTAAATGTGGAACAGACTTCTGCGTGTCCTCCCCAGAGCATGGGCAGTGGCGATCAGCACCCAGGATGTGGCTCCATGCTCCAGCTCTCCAGCCTTCAGCGCAAGATGTCTGCAGACAGATTCATTAACCTTCCATTTGCCCATTGACCTGCCACACTCCAGACTGGCTATGGTGCTGTTGGTAGCCTTGAGGATGCACTTCAGAGGGGCTATCAGAGACCAGAGGATGTATTGAGTGTGCAATGGCTTGCAAACCCTGTGCTGGCAGTTCCCACTCTGGGGCTGTGGCCCAGCAGTAGCATACTATGCTCAGGCCTGTGGCCCACAGGAGTCTTGGCTGCTCATGCTACCCAAAACTCAGCATGAGGGAGCTGCATAAACCCGTGCAATTTGGGGGCAGCATCCTGTAATGCCTGCAGGGAGCAGTAAATCCATCAGTGAGTGCTGAGGTTGTTCCCGCTTTGTTTCTGCAGCCCAGCTGTGACTCTGAACACTATTCAGACTAGGTCTTGGGAATGAGCTGCTGAAAGCCTTATTAGGTGCCCCCCAGGTATTCAGTCACCCGTTAAACTCCTTCACTTTCAAACTGCTGCACTTGAACTTGCCAGATTGCCAGTGCTGCTTCTGAGTCTTTACTTTCAGTTCAGAGAATATCTGAAAAGCATTTTTGCAGCTGTATCTATTTTTGTCTGGCTCGATGCTGAGATGGTTGAGAGCGGTTTGGACACGCAGTCCTCGTTATGGGTTTCAGACAGGGAGAAGAGAGCAGCTGAAGCTGTGTCAGTCTGCATGTTTGTCCAGTTCCTGGGCCACAGAGCTTGGGAGCTAAAAGACAATGCCAATGCCCGTGGGTGCAGAGCACGTTGCAACTGGCAAGGCAAAAGCAGCACTTCATGTTGGGGTTCATGTAGTTGCTGTACATGTGACTCACCTGCGCTTACTTTGGTCTCTTGTTGGGCTGAAAGGCCTGAAACCAAAGCACAGATGGCTCATGACTGTGCCTTTATGTATATTCTAGCAGTTGGGTCAGCTCTGTGGGCCAAACCACTGGATGTATGGCCAAGGCTGAAGGAGAAAA